AGCAGACTCCCCGCTGAGCAGGGAGCCCGATGTGGGACTCGATCCCGGGACTCCGGGATCATGACCTGAGCCGAAAGCAGTCGCTGAACCAACTGAGCCACCCAGGCGCCCGGAGCATGCAAATCTTGATCTCAGGGTTGTATGTTCAAGCTCCATGTTGAGTATAGAGATTACTTAAAAATAAGATCTTTAGGGGTGCCTGGGTGGCTCAGTCAGTTAAGTGTCTGCCTTCGGCTCAGGTCATGATCTGACGTCCTGGTTTAGAGCCCAGAGGTGGGCTCCCTGCTCAGCGAGGAGTCTGCTTCTCCCTCTCCCTCTCCCCCTTTCCCCTGCTCATGCTCTCCCTCTCACGCTTTCTCACTCTCTCAAATAAATAAATAAAATCTTTAAAAATAAATAAATGAAATAAAATCTTTAAAAAAAATCAAATATTCAGTGCTCCCCTCCTTGTCACAGCTTATTTGGGGGGACGGAGTATTTGAGAAGGGAGTCCCAACCATGGCATTATTACCGTGCAAGGCCCCGCGCAGTGAAATTGCAGGTATTTCTCATCTTCCCTTCAGGTTTTGCCACAGCCCCGTTGCTTGTGCTATGGGAAGATATGGGGCCCATCTCTCCCCAGCCAACCCAGGTGGCTGCCTCGGCCTCCAACGTTTCCAAGTGACGTAGAACACTACAGGCCCCGAGGCCCCTCAACACTTCCTGTGTGGGGTTCAGAAACTCACCTCCCCTCCCAGCCTTAGGTGCCTGCTTCAGAAAATGGTGAGTCTCCCTCTAACGGGTCCCCTTTTTCATCCCAGCATTGGCAACAATGACCTCAGGGTCTTCACCTTCAGCAGGGGTTTTGGGAAAGTCCTCTGGTTTCTTTTTCAGAAGTAATAAGCCACCGGCCTCCGCCATCTTAGGTAGAATAAGGGTCCATCCAGTGAGAGAAGGATGCAGTCGGGGAACCTCTGGAGAATTCTGGGACTCTGTCTCTTATCAGGTAAGTAGGATGAAATGAGAAAGGGTGGTATTTCTCCAGACTATGGGAAGGCTCCCAGCCTACCCTGGTGCTGCCCAGTGGTCCCAAGGAGCCTCATTTACCAGATGGAAGGAATGTTCTGTGCTACGTTAAGGCAGGGATCTAAGACTGCAAGCTAATGGGAAAGAATACGCTCCAGATGCACGGGAGAATTTTCAGGGAACAGCCAAAGAAAAGCATTTGGGATCATTGCTTTTGAAAGCAGAGAAGTCTCTCTGCCTCCACGAACAAAAGCTGGTTCATCAGTAAACTACCCAGCCTTTAAGAACCAACATAAAATAGATTAGAGCTAATCTCCACCCCTCCTCCATGCCAGGAATCTCAAAGTTAATTCCCAAGACAATACACACTGATGACCAAGAGCTTTCAATTAATTTAGTCCTTTTTGAAGCAAGGGAGAATATAAATTGATAAATAACCTAAAGCAATTCCACATCCCATAGGAGATAAGATTAAAAAAAAAAAAAGGTTGCCGTTTAAGTGCCAGAGACTGTATAAAGAAAAAATTCTTTACACGTGTTACCTAATTTAATTCTTACCTCCATCTTGGAAGGTAAACGTTACATCCTCTATTTTACAGACAAAGAAACTGATACGCAAAGGTAGTAAATAACTTGTTTAAAGCCACACAGCTAGTAAGTGCAAAAGCAGACCTGGGAACGGAACTGTCTGTCGACAAGGCCTATGCGCTTCATGGCTACATGGTGTAAAATGGCTCAGGATGGCTTTATTTCAGTGGCCTAGAAAAGGCTACCATCAATGGGGCTCCTCAGAGCCAGAGCCATGATGTCTCCACTTCCTGCTTTGCTGTGAGTTTCTCAGGCTTTTTTTTTTAAGATTTTATTTATTTATTTGACAGTGAGAGACACAGCGAGAGACGGAACACAAGCGGGGGCAGTGGGAGAGGGAGAAACAGGCTCCCCGCGGAGCAGGGAGCCCGATACGGGGCTCGATGCGGGGCTCGATGCGGCGCTCGATCCCAGGACTCTGGGATCATGACCTGAGCCGAAGGCAGACGCTTAACGACTTAGCCACCCAGGCGCCCCAGAGTTTCTCAGGCTTTTAAGGCTCACACAAATCACCTGGTATTCTGCAGCTTCTGCTTCAGTGGGACTGGGGTAGCGATTGCCACTCTGCATTGCTAATAAGCTCTTGGGCTTTTAAATCTGCTACTGGTCCAAGGAAAAGATTTTGAGGTAGTCAAGGGGCAAGGTGTGACTCCTGCAAGGAGGGATCAGGCATTTTCTTAGAGGCTTATAATATCAACTATGTTTTCCCAGGGCGGAGGGGGCAGGGGAGATGGAGAGAGAGAGAGAGAGAGACACTGGCTATCAATGTCCCAAGCACCCCTCAAGATTTGACATCATGAGACTGTGCCCCATCTGCTCTGGAAATGGATGGGCGATGGGCGGGTGGAGGGGGTCTCACTCCATGTAGAGGCTGTTGGTAAAAGATAGGTCCAGGTATACGGAAAACTTTCAGGCAACATCAGGGAAACTGGTCATCCATAATGAGTCCAAGGGTATTTCTCCAGACTATGGGAAGGCTCCCAGCCTACCCTGGTGCTGCCCAGTGGTCCCAAGGAGCCTCATTTACCAGATAGAAGGAATGTTCTG